TCTATAAATATATATATATATATATACTTTGCTGGTTTTTGTGTTTCTCTAGAGAACCCAATCCAACACAGAGGCACTGGAGCATTTTGTCCCTGCGAGTGCGGCCATCCCACCCAGATTGGGTATCTAGTTGGTATTCCCATCTGGGGTCCTGCCCAGGAACAGCTTCTGGAACCATTGGCATGGTTGTTGTTGTTTGCTGTCAAGTCAAACCTGACTCATAGCGACCCCTCCTTGGGTTTCCGAGGCAGTATCACTACGGAAATAGGATTGCCCAACCTTCCTTCCGAGGAGTGGCATGGTAGGGTCAGTTAAATGGGTTTGGTTGGCATGCTCCTGAGCAGCCCCCAGAACCCACTCCCTTTCATCAGAGTTTAAAGTGGAAGAGAGGATGACATAAATGTCATGCCAAGTTAGGGCATACGCTTGAGAGAGGTAACAAAATTCCTTAATGTAGGTGGTGAGGTTGTGAGAAAAGGAACCCAGACATTTCTCAATCTGATATAAGTCGGTGAGGGAAAAAGGTACATGAACATGGATGACACCTTCTGAGCCAGTTACTTCGCACAGGGGACCAAGAAGGGGTTGTTGAGAACGGGTGTGGCTGCTTACTGTGGAGGGTAAGGAGGATTCAGGGGAAGTGGAGTTGGGAGATGTTGGTGGAGATGTAGGTGGGAGTGATGGAGAGGGTGCTATAGGGTTAACTGAGGTGGAGATGAAAGTGCGTGTTCCAGATACGGGGCTGGTCCATGGGGTGGGGATGAAAGAGATTCGGGTGGATCAGAAAAAGAGGAAGTTGGTTCGGGGGAAGTGAGAGGAGTTAAAGAGTATTTAGAGGGGGTTTGGACAAGAGTATCGTGAGCTAGGAGAATCTGAGTGATACTGCAAGTAGAGCAGAGAGAGGGACAGGAGTGCAGGTGAAAGAAAGCTTGGATGTAGGGGACCTCCAGCCACTTGCCTGTGCGACGGCAAAAATTACCAAGATCAGTGAGGATATTAAAATAGAAAGTTCCTTGTTCAAGCCACTGAGAATTATTATCTAATGGGTATTGGGGCCACGTAGTAGTGTAATAGAAAATTAGGCATTTGGAACTAAGTCTTGAGCCAGCCCCAGGGTGCCAATATTGAGTAAAAGACACCCCAGAGGAGTAGTAGGGTCTGGTTTAGAATTCTGGTTACCCGTGATCCCTTAAGTCCTGATGGGAAGGTTCTGTTAAAGAACCAACGTCCTAGTCGTTTTGCCAGAACCTTGGTAATGGAGACCGGAAGAATAAAAGGGACGTCTCCACTAATATTCCTCGGTCTGGAGCGGCTATGCCATGGAAAGACAGGGAATCCAAGGCGTCCCCAGGATGTCTCTGTCTTTGGAATGGGAGAGCCTCTGACGTGGATCTACGGTTTTAAAATGGACAGAAAATGGGCAGAGGCTCTGGAAATGGATCCGAGACCTGGGGTCTGAGTGCCCAGAATGGAGAAACTAACCAGAATGGGGAAACTCACCAGTGTTGGGTGATGGCGGCCGGGGGTTCCTGGTCCACCGAAAGAAAGAAGAAAGGCGGGCGCGCAACACTCTATCTCAGCAGAGATTACTTGCACCGTACTCCCTCCCGGGTTTTGGTACCAGATGTAAGGTCGCGACGGAGAAGAGAGGAGATACAAAGAGTGGGATAAAGAAAAGTTTTATTCTGCGCTCCCGGGCAAGGTTCATGGGTTCTAGAGAGCGGGGCCAGAGAAGTTGCGCTGTCTGGACAGGGGGGAGAAGTTTATATAGTTGCATATGGACCTGAATAGGGGCAGAGGGAAAAAAGCAGGAACCAATCAGGTGAAAGCACCTTATTAGCATAGTCATTAAAGGAGGGGGAAAGGACCTGTGCTGGTTCAAAATAAGGCGGGAACCAATCAGGTGAAAGCTGCATCCGGTTGGCCTGTTTGTAACTTCTTCCTGCTCCATCTTTTACCCGCCTGGCAGGCACTACCCTACCAGCGTTCCTATTTTCTGTTTAGTAAGACAGAAATGGGAGGATAAAGTGTTCAATGAATGATGGTTTTGTATATGGTGAAATTTCTGTTCTATTAAGTTTGCAGTTCTGTTGCCTAGTGGCTTATTCTCATGGCGATTATTCTCCTAGACATTCTTAAGCATTCAGTCTTTTTGTCTCTTTGGAGAAAAAAAACAAAAACAAAAACAAAAACAATGAGGACACTTGTTGCCCTATCTGGAAGGGCCTAACCAACTAGCTGGCTACCCTAAAACTCCTGTGGGTAGTCAGCGAAAGTTGCCAGCAGTAGGAACTGGCATTTAACTGTTTTTAAAAGGCCATTAACTACAAACTCCTTTGTCACAAATGTCTGACATTAAATTGTAGTAAGTCATTTTTGACAAAATTTACAGCTATCCACATAAAAGTTAAATGATTTTTCTTTTAGTCTCTGATTCAGTAGTTTATTCCATACCCTCCTGTTTTCCTTCAGAGACTGTCCACACTCCTGCTGGGCTTGAGGAGGTGGTGTCTTGAGGAGTGCCAGGTAACAACAGGAAGGTGAGTCAAAGGTGGAGAGCTTGTGTAGGTGAGTGAAAGGAGCACCTGAGCCATAGCACCCCTCTTTGTCACTCCTCCAAGCAACAGGAAACAAAAAGCTCATCAAGCTAACCCCCAGGAACAACTGAGGAAGAGTTCCAATGATAGTAGGAGTGTTCTAGCTGCCATCCTGCCCCTGAGCAGGGCTACATGGCCAAAATGCACAGAAATTGACTGGAACAAGGCAAAGACTGTTACAGGACTGGGCCTACTTCCAGTGACTTGTTGGCACACCATGGATAACAGTCATACCACCACGAGAGTATATTCTTAATGCCTCGCTGATAGTTCCAGCCTCAGGTAAGCACAGTCCTGAAAGCTACTAAATAACACAGCTTCTGCAGAGGGGCATGAAAAGCGAGGAGTAATGAGCCTTATTCCTTGGCTTCTTTCCTTCAGAAATGGGGAGACAGACGTTCCACACTCCTGAACCGTGGAGAGCATCCCTGGACTTTGATAATGGTCTCTTCGTTCCTCTGGTGATGCCTGCCTACTTTTCTCATGCTTTTCCATTGCCAGGTTGCACTGAGGACTTTTAGCAGCTTCTTTGCTGATCTGTATTCTAACTCTATCCTTCTCTTTAGTCACTTGAAACAAGTAGCTGTCTTCCTGGAAATAGCATGTCATTACTTTATTTTCTATCCCTTAACTCCTTCTTTCAAGCCTAATGTCTGCTGGGTGCTACTGATCCCAGATCCAGTCTATCATACATTCTGAGAAAGCAGGTGTCCTCTGGGATCTTCCAGACAAACCAGGACATACCCCTACCTGTAGGGATAATGGTAATGTCTACCTCACTGACTTGTAAGAATTAAATAAGTGTGCATCTAGGAACAGTGTGTGCTATATATTATGGGTTGAATTAAATTAGTGTTGTTATATTCTTGGTGTTCCATCCTTCCATACCTTACCTAATCTAGTGTCTATGCCTCCCTTCTAATCCCCTGTCTTCTTTCCTTTTTATCCCTTTATGTCCTATCCTTGGCCTGTTACTCTCTTCATTTCTGCCACTGGACCCATGTCCCTGATTGCCTGGCATTAACAGAGGATTTTATAACTCTGCTTACCTTCTTTTTGCTTGACTCCAGTGGTAGTATAGCCAAGCCCACATTCTGGGCCCTAACCTGTTTGGTGAAGTTGTCTCACTTCCCTGACCTTGCATTTAGGGACTGGACACTCCTAGCAGTTAGGGGTAGGGTGGGGTTAGGGCTGAAACCCATTTGCACAGACACATTCCTATTTTATGTTCTATTAATAACTTGGCTTTCCAGGTACCTGCTGCTCTATCCACCCTTCCATGGTTCACCCTGGGGTTCATATCCAAGTCTCTGACAATATCTCCCTTTACAGGTGGAAGCATACCCTGGAAATCTTTAGGCTAGAGACGGTCATTACCAGAGCCTGGCCAGCACACAATTCCCTGCCTGGAAGCCTCAGATTGGTCCTCCTCTACTGCCAAGCTGCTTGCCTCCAGAGGGAGAGCAAGAATGGCTGCAACCCTGTGCCCACTGGGAGTGGGTGGGGAGGCCAGTGCTTCAGTGAAGGGGAAGTGGTAGCGTCCTGGCTGGCTGGGTATAGAGTCTGCAATCTGAGCGGCACAGGAAGCCCAGCGGAGGCCTAGGAGGTGTGTTTTGGGCCAATATTGCACTGCCCTGAAAAACTTCGTGCACTCCCAGGGGATGTCCGCACTAAGATCGGTGCAATGTAGGGGACGACTGCGTGGTCCTTCTAGCTCAGCAACACGCCTCAGTTTCCTGGTCTGCATCAGGAGCACTGCTCAAAGTAGGGAGGAGTTATGGTCCTAGCCCCAGGCTGGCGGGGATGTCACAGAGTCAACCACATCTGGGATAGTGGCTTTCGGTTCCCTCGGCTGGCAGAGAGCAAGAAAGTGCAGGGCCGAAAGAAGAGCTCCCAGTTACCCTAAGAGCTGTTAGTCCCAAACCGGGAGGCAAAGCACGAAGAAGCCTAAGTGCCTGAAGAACCCGCGGGAGGATGGGGCAGCGCGTTCCGGCTCAGCCTGACCCCGCGGGCGGTCAGGCGCAAGGGGGCGGGGGCTGCGGGCACCGGCTGCGACCTGGGCGGGCCGCTGGCGGGGCATTTAAACCCGCGACTGCAGTGGAGCGACGCGCCGCTCTGCACTCCCCTTCGTCCTGGCTGTCGTCTTCCAGGTCTGGCTGAGCAACATGCGGGCTTCCCTGGCTCCGGGTGTCTGGTTCCTCCGCCACTTCTCCAGGGACAGCTGGTGAGCAGGGTTTGGGAGGGAGGATCCGGAGCAAGCTCCCCGCCGACCCTGACCGCCCCAGGCTCAAGTGGTGCGGAGTGCTGAGGTGGAGCCACGGGGAACTAGACTAGATGGGCTGGGCGTCCCGGCTCAGAGGCACTGGCCGGCTCTGGTCCTGGGCTTCTTCAGCGGCACCATTCTGGAAGGGTGCTAGCATACACTACCTAACTCCAAGCTCCCCAAAACTACTCTCAGCGAGGCTTGTGAAGCGAGGCTACCTAGGAGCATCCCCTGGGTTCACCATCCTCATCTCCAAACACATATCCCAGAGTAGACCTTCAGTGCGCACCACTTTCATTTCATTGAGTACCGGCAGGACCTGGACGCCAGGGAACCGAGATGGTGGAAGTGCTGGGAAGTGGCCATTGGAGTTGGGCGCCTTTCTGGGTCTCTTTCAGCGCTTGAGTAACACAGAGGTCAGAACCCAGTGGTCCTGGGAGCTTGCCTTGAGGGGTTCCGGGTCCTGAGAGACAACATGTGGGAAGAGCAAACCTCTCCGATCAGCTCCTCTGCTAGGGTCACTCCAACAGTAGGGGAGCCAGCCTCCTTTCCTATTGGGTAGACCTCAACCTGTGGGGTATATGGTGAGTGGAGGGGCTCCAGCTGTCTCCTCACAGGAGGCAGCACGCTGGAGCAGTTTGCTTGGTCTGCACAATTTTGGTTTTTTTTTTTTTTTTTCCCCCTTATTTTGTTCACTTAATTTCTTTGATATCATAACTGTATCTCTTTTCCTCTTACACAGAAATCTTCTTTACATCATTAATATAATAAAATTACACATTTGCTTTAGCCTACAATGTAGAGAAAATAACCTCCAGTATCAGTATTCTTATTGCTCTAACAGTAAATTTACTGATGGAAATTAAAAATTTCATAGTAGTTCTTTTTGTTCTTGGTCTTCATTCCACTAAAGATGTACAGCCAGAACACTGTATTCTAAAGTCTTCTTAAAGGCATTCTTTCTCTAAAGGGTAATATGACCAATTGATATAGGTTGGGTTTACTTGTTTAATTTCCAAGTTTTAAATTTATTGGTTCAGTTTGTTTTTTACAATTCTAAATTTATTTTTAGAAAATAGTTAATAAATTTACAATTCAAAACTCAAAATGATAATATATTATTGGAAAATCTTCCTTCCATGCACAGCGTTTTTTAAATATTGTGTTAGTTGCCATAATTAACACATTATAAAATGCAGCATTAATAGCCAGATTTCTGGTTTCTGGGGTGAGGGGAAAACTAATAAAATAGATTATAGGGCAATAACCCACTGCGACAGAGTCAATTCTGATTCATATCGACGCCCACTGAGTTTCCAACGGTATAAATCTTTACAGAAGTAGATTGCCTCATCTTCCTTCCATGGAGTTGCCAGTGGGTTTGAAGCACCAACCTTCTGGTTAGCAGCCAAATGCCTTATCCACTGTGCCTCCAGAGCTTCTTATAGGGCAATACCAGGCCAAAATTCCCAAATTGAATTGACAGGCATTAAGAGCCCTCTTGGGAGCTCTAGTGGCATAGTGCCTAAGGCATTTGACTGCTAACCAGAAGACTGGCAGTTCAAACCCACCAGAAACTCCTTGGAAGGAAGATTGGGCAATCTACTTCCTTAGAGTTACTGCCTCAGAAATCCAAGGAGGGGTTGCTATGTTGCTATGAGTCACAATCCACTCAAAGGCAGTGAGGTGTTTTTTGTTTTTTTTTTTTTTGGTTAAGAGCCCTCTTAAGATGGGACCAGTGCTTTTAAGGTGACCTACTTGTCCTGGTTTTAAAACTGAAAGTCTTGTGTCTCCAAGTTTCTCACCCTGGGTAAAGAAGGAAGACTGGTCATCTAGGTGCTTTTCACTTAGTGATGTCCTCACTGGTGACAGTGCTCATCACATCTGCTTTCTTTACTCATTTACTTGGGCCCTTTTGAGTTTGATACTTTTCTGCAAATGTACAATCATGACTTTCCTCCAGATAGAAAAATGAACATGTGGTAAAGATTTATGTTAATCACAATGAGGGAGCCAGCAGGTTAAGTTATCACTAGTTCAAAAGAAAATTCAAAGATCATAGCTGTTTATAGATCAGGAATATTGAGCAAACTGATTTTTCCATAGGTTGAAAAGAAAGACTGTTAAACTTCTATGGGTGCATATATTATTTTGAATGACTTATCAGTTACCATTTCAAAGACTTGTGAAATAGCTCAAATGCAGTGAAAGTCTTGAATCAGATAAACTGGAGAGGTGTCCTCTGGAGATTGCATAGTTTTCCAGCTGAAACAAACAAACAAACAAATTTGTTTTTCCCATAGCCTCCTGTGTTTTGATCAGAAATAATCTCAAATAAAGATTATTCTTGATCACAAAATAAGTCTGATCTATGAGTTTGATGTGGTTATTTAGGTGCAGCAAGACGTTTGCTTTGCTGGAAGTTTTCATAAGGAATCTCAGATTGGAGTTCACTGTCCTGAGGCTAGAAAGCCAAGCCAAGAAACTGTCTTTACCAAGTTTCACCAGCACTACGTGAAAATGTGGGTGAATCCTCTCAGGGTCCCCAAAATATCCTGAGCTTCTGAGGACTGTCCTGCCTGGGAGTGACCTTCCATTCTTGCCTTTGAGTCAGAGAAACCAGTAGCCAGTTTTCCTGGGAGAGTTTTATTAGTGTTGGCTCCATGAAGTCAACTTTAGTGCGACTGATCATATCTGATTAAATGACCATCATTGTCAAGTATATTCCAGGCAAGTCCTTGGTTACATAACCAATTTTTTCCCATTCTGTCCTGGTAAAAGACAGGACAGATTCTTATTGAACCTGTGCAAATAACCATATTGTCATGAAAAGAAAGAAAGCACAATGAGAGTTTCTAAATTGGCGGGCAGGGTCGGGGGTGGGGAGGAGGTGAGCAGGAAGCATAAAATAACATTCATTTGCAAATGTTTCATTTCAGTTTGTAAAAGCAGAGTCTACTAAATTCTTAGGTATTTTAGATAATTTAAGAAAGAGAAAGGGCATCCTTACATATTCAGAAAGCAGAACATTGTAGCAACATCAACAATATTGCAAACATAGATGACAATCATCCCTCATCAATTCATTCAGTCCTATGTGATTAATTCTTCTTCTGTTGGATCTTGTGTTAGCAGTCTTATAAACCTGTTGGCTTCTTGACTAAAACAACAACAACAAAACCCAAACTCACTGCCAGCCAGTCAATTTTGACTCATAGTGATCCCCATTGGGTTTCCGAGGCTGTAAATCTTTATGGAAGTAGATTACCCAATCTTCCTTTCGTGGAGTGGCTGGTGGGTTTGAACTGCTGACTTCCTGGTTAGCAGCCAAATGGCTTATCCACTACACTCTGGAAATCTAGAAGCTTCTCTTCATATTGTCTAAGCAATGCTAGCATAATCCTGTCTCCAGGAGTCAGTGCCTGGTTGGTACCTTGCTTTTCTGAGACAGTTCTTGGCTGTTATAGAACTCTGGCCCATAGCTGATTGCAGAGCCTTTCAGGAAGCATCAGAGTAAACCAAAAACCATGTTATCAGTGACAGAGTCATAAAAGATGCTGCTTAACTTATTTTCAAAATAAGTTATAAATAAAATAATTTTCAAAAGATCTCATGAGAATTCTTAATAAGTATGGCACAACCGGGTAAGGGCTCAACTACTAACTGAAAGGCTGGCAATTTGAACCCATCCAAAGGGCACCTTGGAAGGAAGGCTGGGTGATCTGCTTCCAAAAGATACCAACCTTGAAATCCTGTGGAGCACATTCTTACTCTGCATACATGGGTTGAGATGAGTTGGAGTTGAATCAATGGTAATGGTTTGTTTTAAAAACTGATTTTATATTTTATAATGTGGAAACCAAGACAAAAAAAGTTCTGGATAAGATGTCTAAAATCATAAAGCAATTTTCAAAGAAGACAGTGAACATTACATGTGCTTTGTAAAAATAGGTGAACATAATTTTTGCAGAGGAAAAAAGTTTGAGGTATAGCATATAATAATTCTGAGAAAAAAATTACATAGTATACCAAAAATATCAAGTAAAGAGATGCAAGAAGTCTGGTATAGATCCTAAATATCTGTATTTCAATAAAACTTCATAAGAAAGTCTGGTGTATAGCTTCATTTTGAAAACCATTGGCCTAGAAGAGGCTAGATTCAAATTAAATAAGGTGGCAGCCAAGGTAATGTTTTAAATCATGACTGAAATCATGGCTACTGACACTACATCTACTTGTCACTTATCGACTATCTTATTATCTGATGCTTCACATTTATAGCCATAGTGAAAAAAAAAATGTACTATCCTACTGTTTTTGTGCATTAATGACCTATGTCTGGCAGTAATGAAAGTCAAGGTGGGAGGCAATAGTAACACTGGCTATGATGGTTAAGAGTATGTGTCAGCTTGGCTGGGCCGTGATTCACTGACAGTTATGTAATGTTGTAATTCAGCAGTTAATTGGGCAGTTTATATAATAATGTAGTTATCTTATATTTTGCATAGTGCAAATTTTTGCGTAATGACCTGGTCTTTGGAATCTAGCCATGTCAGTAAGTGAGAAGTGGAGATATACTGTTGTTATCAGCATTTAGGAGGATGCTGATAAGTAGGAACATATGGACAGAGAGGGTATTGAAAAACCTATGGCAATTTCTCATACTCATATAGCTTCTGAAGTGTTTATATAAATAGCATTTTACCTATGGAAGTTTAACTCTAGGAAAGGCTGAGCATCTCTTCTGACTTGAGAATTAATCCCATACAACTCATCAATAATAACATAAACGTAATTATTTCTGACGCCTCTCTTTTTTTTAAAGATGAAATAGACCCTCTGGGACATCTCAAAGATAGTTTTAGGTACAAAAGATATCCTGGAAGTTTTATTTATTCTACATTTAGAATTTGATTTGGATAAGACAAAAATCCAAAGTTGTCAGGAGACAACTTAAGATT